AGCACCTGCAGGTAAATCACTCTGAGTTGAAATCACCACCCTTCGCAAGTCTATAAAACCTTCAGGCCACACTCACAACCCCAGATGGACCAAAGCAGCACAACCTGTGCTTCACCATCACCCAGGGGAGGGGCAAATAAATTAAGTGTGAACCTAAATCAAAGTGCTGCTGCCAATTCCAATTCCATCCCGTGCTCATTCTTGTCTCCCCATCATGCTGGAGCTCACCAAATGCTAAAATTAAGCACCTGATTTGGTGAAAGTATGCAACTGAAATGCAATCCAACAGCACTAGAGGGCAAGGCATCATGAATCCAGTGTTCCAGCAGCATTCCAGCATCATGACTCCTTTTCACATCCTGCAAAAACTCAACAACTCAACAATAACAAAGTGTCTGGGCTTGAATGTTGCAGCAGGAGATTTTGGGCAAGTCAGGGACTGGATAATCTTTAAAAGTCTCTTCCAACCCAAACCACTCCACGACTGTGATAATTTCTGTCTGCATAACTGAAAATAAAATAAATAAAAAGCGAAGAGATGTTGAGTCTGCTCTGTCCTGTGATGAGCAAAGGAATCATGCACAAAACAGAAGATAAAGAAGCAATTTCCTTTCTGCAGTGTTTCCTAAACAGAGAGGGGTAGTTTTCAAGGCCTCTATTGAAATATATGGTAAACGGCCCCAAGTTCCAGAGAGGTTCTCTTGGATGTGGCAGTGCTAAAACAGGGCTGAGTTCCATGTGCTGCAGTAAGAGGGTTTAAGACATTTGTGCATTTTGAATGCGTAAATCCAGGCTTTTAAAACCAGCACGATGAAGAGGAAGTAGTGACACCACAGCTGATGACATCAAAATGATTTCTGGGCTTTCAAAACTCGGGTCAGGCACTGACCAGCCTGACATCCTCAAACACAACACGTAAGGTCTTCTCCACACACACACACGCATAATTTCAGTGCTAGATGAACAAGATTTGGAACTCATATTTCCTCTGTTAATGTTCCTGTGTACAAGAGGCTTTAGGACTAATGGAAGCCAGAGGTGCCAAGACTTTTGGGTGGATGCAACACTTCCCCTGTCCAAAAGCATCATGGGACCACTAGACAATTCCCAATGCTCTGATTCCTCCCAAGACAATATTTGTCACTGCCCTCAGTTTGACTGAAAGTTGGATTAGTGTTTCATTCCCTCTTTGTGGCTTTTGCCAGCTGGCATTGATGGCCTGAAAAAGAGGAAGATCACCGAGGGCAGCAGAGGAGACACATCTTCCAGCCCCAGCTGCTGATGCAGAAAGAGCAAAGGTGCCTCTCAGCCGTGATCAACATACGTGTCTGTCATCAGGAAGCATCTTAAATTGACTCTAAGGTGATTAACAGAGCAGAATTAGCCCAATGAGCCAGGGGAATTAAGGGCAGAGAGCTGTCCTTGAGCCAATATCCCATCTACATCTGCCAGAGAAAGCCTGCAGTCCCAGAACTGGAGTGGAAGCAGAAATTAGAAACACAAAGTCTTTGGTTAAAAAGTGCATGGGGTTCTGTGTGCCCACGTGAACCCCACTAAAAGCTCTGTAAGTAGCACAGGAATGAGTGCTGGAGTTTTCACTGCAAAGCTTCCTTTTCACAGCTCCCCTCTCTGAGACAGTCCCACAGGGAACTGTTTTGGGACTTACTACTCCTGCACAAATGGCTGTGAATTCCTTTTCTGTCACTGGTTACTTGTAAGTAATGAGATTTGTACCAGTGACAGCTTTTCCCATGTAGCTGACGTCTTCTCCTACAAGGGGAATAATTTCAAGTTTAAGGCAAAAGAAAGTTAAGGATTACTTTTTCCTTCTCAAACTTTCTCTGCTTTCTCTCTGCTCCATCATCTGAGGTAGTGCTGTCACATCTCCTGAGCCAAGGCACCTCCGTGAGCTCAGATTTATCAGAGAATCACAGGACGGTTTGGGTCGGAAGGGACCTTAAATATCTCCTAGTTCCAACTCTCTGCCATGGGCAGGGACACCTTCCACTAGACCAGGTTGCTTCAAGCCCTGTCCAAGCTGTCCTTGAACACTTCCAGGGATGGAGCAGCCACAGCTTCTCTGGGCAACCTGTGCCAGGGCCTCCCCCCCCCAGGGAAAAATTTTTTACTAATATGTAATATAAATCTATTATTTATCTAAATCTAAAATCTAATCAATTCAACTTAAGGCCATTCTATAACCCATTTCTCCCCTCACATCCAGCCCACAACTAGTCCTGGTCTCATTGTCTCTATGCTCCCTTTTCCTCCTAATCCACCCCCAAACAAGGTAAAATTTTCACTTCTCTCATCTTTGGGTTGTGCACCACAGACCTGTGATCTCACTATTCAGTTTATCCCCTGCAAATGCAGGGAATTACCCCCCTGGGGGCCTGTTCTGGCAATTCTCTGAGCATTCTATAAACCAGCACAAAGTCCATCTGCCTCCACAGCCTGGCTCAAGTCAACCTTCCAGTTCAGCCCAATAACCCTCGTACAAACACGGGAATATTGACATGATAAATAGCAAACCCGACCCCTTGGCTCCCAGCGCCAGTGGCACCACAGGGATCGCTCCTGTTGGGAATGTGTTGCCTTGGCAGGGCTGACCAGCCCTCAGTGCCACGTGCACATTGAGAGTGCAGCCAGATTTGACTTTTCCTGGCAGGGCCACACTCCCTGAATGCCTGGAATTTCCCCATGGCTGACACAGTGCTGCCTATTCTGCAATAATTCCCTTTGCTTTGATAGATTCATCCTGCGGGAAGCTTTGAAACATCTGACTTTTTTTGAGGCCAGCTGCTTATCTTCTCCCACTTTTCTTGATTGCACCTGGAGCAAGCAAGCAAACAACAAAAAAAAAATCTTTCATTTGTTGGTTCCTGGAAACACACAGCTCTGAGAGCATGTGGGGACAGCCTGACCGCTGAGCAAAGCCTGATTTACAGCCTTGAGCAAACCTGGAGGAACTCTGCAAGCAGGGGAAAAGACAGGACCAGCACACACAGGGAATTGCCAGGAGCAACCAATTCTCAAGGTCCTTTATACTGCTTTCTCTCTTCTTGCCATACCAAGTCTCCTAAATTCTCCTCTTAAGCGTGTATGAACATCTAAATACTTAAAAGCACCTCATTGTGCACAACACTAACCTCCATCAGAGAGAGAAAACATCCATTTTCTCTCCCAAACTCTCACTTTATGACAGGGAAAAAGGATTTAGGAGAGAGAGGGGAATGAAAACTGCCTCTTTGATAGTTTTGCTCGTTGTCCTTCAGCTCCAGCTCCAGGAAAGTTTCTGACAGCAAGCCCTGCTGACACTACACCTAAAGACCCAGACACAGCCAAACATTCTGTCACCCGGCCACCCTCATGGCTTTGCAACATTCCCCTTCAAGAAATCCAAATCCTTCCTTCCCACATCGCAGACTTACACCAATTACATCTAACACCAATTCCCATTTCCAGCAGCACAGGGAAGCTGTTTCCCTCTCAAGGGGCTGCAGGGGACAGGTCAGTAGGTGTGAGGTCTTCACGGAGGCAGAAGCCAGGAGGGGTCTGGAAATGCTCCATTCCCGCAGGGAGGGAGGATCAGGAGGGAGGACAGTCCTGCCTGGGCTGCCTGTGCCCTCTCGTGGCTGCCTGACTGTGCCGCACCACCAGATTCTTGTATTACTTTCGAATTTAAAATTATATCCCTTTCTGGAGACTGCTCTCCCTCGGACCTGTTAGGGTTCTCTAGATGTGGCAGCCCCTCCTTCTGGGCATTTGTTGGGCACTGAACTGCCTCCAGTGCCCTCCTCAAAAGCCATTGTGGGAGTGTGAATCCAGCCACTACAGACCTCACACCACCTCACTGACCAGGGAAATCCAAGAGCAGCGTGAGGTCAGTCCATCCCATCAGAGGGAGGCAATGCCCATGTTTACACAGGACTGTGAAGGGAAAAGGGTGACAGGGAGATTTGGGGGCTGAGCTTGGAGAGTGTCATGGCACTCAGAGCAGGGAGGACACAGGACTCCAGTTCCTGCCTTTCCCATCATGTGAAGGTCATGGAGATGTTTCTGGCTGGCATGGCAACCACCAGCGATGGGATCTCAGGGTGCATCCAAGCAGGAAAAAACAGCCAAGGCCTGACCAACCCTCACGCAAGTTTACAGTAAAAAGCAGCTCCAGATCCCAGAACCACTATTCTATGGGGTCTAATCCCGTTTTCTGCTCTGGCTGTACCTCAGCTTGCTTTCTCAAAGGTCTTTGATGTTTTGCTTTTTCCCTCCACTGTCATCCCCAAGAGATGATGATGAGATCTTCCATGTTAATGTCCAGAGCTGAACACAGGAAGAGAGCAAGTGATTTTAAAGAAACCAGAGTGGCCTAAAATCTCTACTTGATGTTAGGAAAAGCAAGAGACTGCTTGGTCCTGCAAGGACAGAGGAAGAAAGATCCTTGAATTAACCAGCCTTCAGGACAGCAGCATATCCTGTGCAATGCTCCAAGCCAGCAAATTGAGCAGGAGAAACCTCAGCTTCCCTCACAAAAAACAGGGACCTGCCCTGTCATAAGTGTTACTTCCCTGTGAGGGCAGTGAGGCACTGGAAGAGGTTCTCTGAGGATGCCCCATCCCTGGAAATCTTCAAGGCCAGGTTGGATGGGGCTTGGAGCAACCTGAACTAGTGGAAGGTGTCCCTGCCTATGGCAGGTTGTTGGAACAAGATAAGCTTTAAGGTCCCTTCCAACCCAAACCATTCTGTGATTCTCTGAAGAAATGTTCACCCACCTGCAGAAAAAAACCCTCTATTTGGCACCAAAACACTATCACTTATTCCCCTTGTGAAGTCAGGGAGCAGCCAACTATGGGAGGGACACACTGATGAAAAAAAACATTAAAGCCCAATCCCAGAGGTCACACAAGGGCCAGAGAAGCTCAGAGAATATCAGCCAAACTTAATTTTCTCTTGGCTACTGAGCACCCCAACCAACCCAACCCCTCAACCTCCAACCAGACTTTTAGAGGTTAATAGCAAATGTTTATTTTCCATTATTAAAGAGCAGGGTGCAACCATCCCGCTGTTAATGGAGTGACTTCATTTTCCTTTACAAATTGTTCTCTCTGCTTCATTTCAAATGTAAGACAACTTCACACATGGCATTTCTGTGATTCCTTTCGTCTCAAAAGTGCTTTACAATGTGACACCGAGGGGAAGAAAAAAATCCCACAAACCAAAACATCTCCTACCTCGAGAGATCACCTCATTCCCAGCGCTGCAACGCAGCCACATGTTGTGCAATGTAGCAGCCAATGGCACAGGAAGACATGGAGAGATCAAAAGGTCAGGGGGAGCAGACAAAAGGAGAAATTCCAGGGATGGAATTTACCTGAGCTGAAATCTGCAGCTGGGGAAACCAAAGCTTTTGCCTTCCCTGTCTATTCCTCCCTCCTCTGGGCAAAACCACAGCAGCTCAGTTTGTGTCTTTGTGGAAGAAAACTGAGTTCTTACTGTAGCATCCCTCAGGAGAGGCTGAAAGTTCTGGAGCTGAGGATGGTGATCTGGTGCTGGGCAGGGCGATGTGCCAGTCAGAGATGGAAACCCCGGGGTGGGTGGTGGCTGCTCCACAGACACTGAAAAAAAGGCTAAATTGGCCACAAATCACTGTCATGGCTTTACCAAACCTGGGTCTGTGGCAGACCTGTGTGTTCCAACAGCTTTAGTGACATCCCTCTCTCCCAGCACAATTTGGAGGATACAGGAACCACAGCCACACCCCTCATGTGCACACAAAGATGTCTCAATTCCCTCACTGGGGATGGCAGCCCAGGAGAAGCTGGGATTCCCACTGGAATGGGCATCTCTAGGTCTAATGTAATACCAGGGAGGAAATCTCTGGGCTTGAGGACTGCCCAGCCTGGGCATGCTCCTTCTGGGACATGAAGAACCCAACCTGGGCAAATGGATTCTACCTAAACGATGCAAACAGGACTGCCCAAAGCTCCCTCAGGATCAGGAACAGCTCCAGGGCATGTTTGTAGGTGAGGTTTGTGTTTAAGAGCACCAAGGGAGACTCCTACACCAAGGACTGTCACAGGGTCTGCCTGTGACAACTGCAGCAGATTTCCTAGTCCAGGAGAGAACATCCTGCACCGACTGCAGCCAGCTGGGATTTAGGGAATTTTCCTGCTCCCTCTCTTCTGCTGAAGGCCCCAGGTGCACAGCTCCAGCTATTCCCCAGCCTGGATAACCCAGAGTCAAACAGCAAGCTAAAAAGAGGAACAATTCCTTCTTTGTGACTCCGTTGGCAGAAAGCTTCTCTTGCAGGCTCCTTTAAAAGGAACAAGGAAGTACTTGGAAACAAACTGTTCATGGCTCTCCATAAGATTATTGTGCTCTGCTGGCATTTTCTGGGCTGCTATGGGAGTATGGTCAGCAGGACCTCAGAGTACCCCCAAAGAATGAGTGGGGCACAGGGACAGACAGCCAGCATCTGTCCTGACAGACTGGCTTACAGGGAAGGTCCAGAATTCCTGCCCTCCTCAGAAAATGCCAAAGAAGACTGCATATAAAAACAAAAGTTTTAAAAAAATGGATATACACTGCATATAGGAGACTCCAAAGTCTATCAATGGCCACCCCAGAGCAGCCAGGGCCAGCCCAGCTCCGAGGGGACAGCGTGGAAGCTGCATTCCAGTCACAGTTGGAGCAGTTGGACAGCTGAAGGTGGAAGTTGTGCTTCTTGGTCAGCTTCAGGCAGAGAGAGGGTGGGGAAGGAGAAAGGCCCATTGCAGGGCAGGCACTGCACTCACAAAGCCCTTCATACTGGAGCAGTTTCCTTCCACGCTCAGGCCTCTGCTTACATCTCACTGGGATAAAATCCAAGTTTGGCCAGGGACATCTCCCTCCGGAGCCGCATGACCTCCCAGTACATCAGCTCCACTGCAAAGCGAAAGGGGTGTGGGGGAGAGAAGGGAAAAAACAACCAAAAATCAGTAAGCAAGGCACAGCTGGACACCACCTCCCAGTGCAGCCCAGCCAGGCTCCTTCCCAAAGCCAGGGAAGCAGGACACGCCCATCAGGTCACCATTTATCAGCACTACTCCAGGGCAAAGCTCCCAGGAACCGGGGCTTCGCTTCCTTCCCTCATGTTTTTCTTTTGTCATTTAACTGCTTCTCAAAGACACAGGGAGTTGAGGGGACCCTGAGCTGGCCCCACTCCTGTCATTTGGAATAGCACCTCTTAATTCCTCCACAGAAAGCATCCCACTGCAACCAGCTCTTACCATCCTGCCTCACCAAGCCCTGCTGGATATAGCGGATATACGTGAAGAAGTTGCAGACTGCTGTGATCTGAGAGAGAGAGGAAAAGAGAAAAATTGGGAATCAGCTCCAGAATTGCTCTGCCAAAAGGCCTGCCCTGCACTCAGCAGCAGAGCTCAGTGTTCAGCACCTGAGAAACAGTCCCACATATTGCCAGGTAGGATGAAAGCTGGTTAAAAATAAAATTAAAAAAACCCCATCTGGGTATCTGCCATCCCATCCCTAGACATTACACTATCCATGAGATACAACATGGAACAACTCCAACCTACTGCAGATTTGAGACATTGCTTTGGGGCAAGTGACACAAATGAGTCAAGTCTGTGCACAAAAAACAACTTTTTGTATCCAAAATGGTCACATGTTTCAGGATCAGCTCTTGTGATATGCAGCTCAGGAAAGAATAAACTTCTAAAATGCTCCATTGAATCAAAACCCCAACAGCAACATTAATAAATTATCCACCTTTTGCCTTCCCTCCACAGAAAGAACAACTTGTTCTCACAACCACCCGAGTCACGGATCTGACTGGAACAGTAAGAGCATTTAAAGAGCAGAAAATTACTGTGTTTTACAAAGGGGAATTAAATAATAATAAAGCCAAAAAACCAAAGCCCTGTACAGAATGAAACCATGGAAAGTGAATGCACTGAGGGTTGTCTGAAAGCATAAGCAGGGCTGGATCTGCACCCTAATTATCAACCAAGAGCCACCCTGAGCTCAGGAACAAACTCAAATTCCACAGGTCTTCCTTAAGTTGAAGGCTGACCCTCAAGAGCTCCTACATCTCAGAGTATGGAACAATTTTGGAGGGTCAAGGCACCCTGGGAAGGTGAAGGACTCACCCTGGCCCTGCAGGAAGGTGAAATGTAGTAGTAATTCCCAGAATCCCCCAGCATGATCCGGTGCTTGCAGGTCCTGGGGAGGCCACTTAGAGCACATTTCCTGCAGGGAAAGGAAAAAACACTTCAACAATCCAGTGGCACAGCAGAGATCAGGAATTTAGGAATCTCAAGAGATGGAAGGGGGAGCTCAGAAGCCAGACCTGGGTCAGTCAGCATGAAAAAAACAACCCATGGCTGATAGAGCCTTTTGCTCCTAAAAGATTCCATAAGTGGCAAGTTAGGAGAGTTAAATATCTGGAATCATGAATTATTCCATATCCAAATACACCAAGCTGTACCCTTTCTCTGGCACAGAGCCCAAGAGAAAGCTACAGAAAACAGAGTGTAATGTCATCTGGTCCCTGCATATCTCCTCCACATTCCAGGGAAGACTCAGGTGTATCAGCTTTCCTGCTGGGATGCAAACATGCTGGCTGGACATCAAACCTGGCCTCAAAACTGGTAAATCCAGCATTAGAGCAGAATTTGCTCATGCTGAGAACTCAAAACAAGCCACACGGCTCTGGATGAGGTTTGCAATTCCCAAGGACAAGCCAATCCCTTCTGGGGCAGACAGGGAAGAAGCCTGGCTTCACAATTTTAGGATTTCACTCAGAGTGAAGAAAACAGTCTTTTCGAAACAGTCAACAGCCTCTCTTTTCCTGCCATTTTTTTCTGCTATTTCTTCTATTATGGTTCCCATCACCAGCCAGTTGCCTTTCCTTCATCCTCACTTAAAGCAGTAAAGCAGAATTTTCTATTGCATAGTTATCACCACATTCCTCAGAGGCTCAGTTCCTGCATGTGGAAAGAGCGACATCACTCCCCAGCTGCAAAAAACTGCTCTGGGAGCCATGGAAGGTGCCAACACATGGGAGCAGATGTTTCAGAGAGATTCTGAGCGTGTCTCTGGGCTTGTTTTCCACTGCTATCAAGGCAAATATTAGCCAAGAGTGGAAGCATGGGCTGTAGGAGCCCACATGCAAGGAGAAGTAATCACTGACCAAATATTAACACAACTTAAGGAGATTAAATTCTCAGGAAGTGTAGGATGACCAATAACAAGATATTTTTAAGTCACAAAATTGAACATTGGAGCACATAGAAAAAAGAGACCCTTGGTGACTTGGCGTAACCACATCTGTCACAACTATATTTAGAGGTAACCAAAAATGCCACAAAAATCAGTGTTTTACACCTGGGAAACAAAAGTAAACAAATTCCTTTTGGATTTTTTTATTCCCAATAGCAAAACTCCTCACCATCCTGCCTGGAAATTAAAGAGGGTTAAAGAGTTAGCTCAGTTCAGCTCGAGCCTCCAAGCTGCTACATTGCACTGAGTTAGTCACTTGTTAATGGATTAGAGATCTTTGATCACTGGCTAAACAATAAATGCTTCACTTACGTTACAATTTGTGACCGGAACCCACTGTGAAGACAAAAAAAAAAACAAAAACACAAAAGGAAACTGATAAGGATAAAGACAGGATGGGTTGTTCTTGGAGCAATTTGCCTAGAGATGGCAGAAAATGCAGGAGCGTGGTAGGAAACCTGCATTTGCCCTCACAGGGACACTTTAGGGGGTGCTCTGCTTGAAGGTAAGGGAGGAAAGGACAGAGAAAGGGAGCCCTGATGGAACTTGAATTCATCAGCTGAATAAAATCCCCTCCTTCATCTGGAATACCATGTCATTTCTGCTAGTGCTCCTCTTCCTTGAGGTGATCCCAAGCTGTTTGTCACAGCAGATACAGTCACACGAGCTCTGAAGCAGCCACAGCCCCAATTCTGGTGGCAAGGTGACAGCATCAGGTGGGGAAGATGATGTGCAGCAAAAGATCTCTTCTGACCTAGGCTCAAACCCACCAGCAAGGTCAGGATGCAAGGTGAGCTCAAACCTCACAAGATGCAAGAATGCAGCTCTGATTTAACCCTTTCACCCCTGGTTATGCACAAACACCTTCAGAGAACATAAACAAGTTGCTGCCTCGAGGCAAGGGAAAAAAATCCACCCCCCAGTCAAGGGCACTAACACCTCTCAGGTTATCCCAAAAAACAGCCAACAGCTCATCTGCTGAGCTAAGCTCATTCCTCTTCTCAGGCAGAGCAGAGCTAAATTCCAACTGCTCACAAGCCTAGAGAACACTCAGCTGAGCCCTTTGAACTGTTCACCCCAGCGACTGAGCGAGGCCCGGCCAAACTCCACGGCACGGGACAAACCGACCAACAGCAAGGAGGGGACAAAAGGTGGTAAACACGGTCCTTACTTCGGCCCACCACACTCTTCTGCTGCCACCTTCACCACAGGGAGTGTCTGGGAAGCCACTGGCTCGATGGTGAGGGTGTTCTGCTCCACAGCCACTCGCACCAGCTCCGACAGCTGCGGCAAACAGAAGGGAGAGCGGGTACGAACGTGCCAAGGTCACCTCCACAAAGGTGACCCTCTGGAGCTGCTTTTCCAGCACTCACCTCCTGCTTAGTGAAGTCCAGACAAGGTCCTACATCTTCTCGATAAATCCTGTCCAGGAAGGAGCAGGATTTATCCAAAGTTGGAGATTCCTTCCAGGCCTGGAACTCGGCAAATAAGATGGAGTCGACCTGCAGCAAGTGTCCAAGAGGAAAGGAAAGTGGGGGGGTGGTCACAAGAAAAGATTCCATATCAGAAGGTATCTGCTACTACGCAGGTAACCTGACTGCAAAACATCTCCTTTGGCATCTAGAGAGGCTCAGACACCATGCAAGTGTCTGAAAGAAGCTGCCTTGCCTCTCATCTCCCACCCACCAGCAGTTCTGTAACAGTTCTGAGCCACAGCTATCCTGGGCTTATTGTGCCAGAAACCTGCAGGTTCCTCTCTATCCCATCTTCCTCCAGCACCCGTGATGCAGGAAAAGCCACCAAACAACCACTGAACAGACCAAGTTCCCACTCAACCCATGTCAGGAATGATGAGAGCAGCTGAGTGGCAAAGCACAGTGGCAATGGGAGACTCTAGGACCTGGCATTTAAATCCCAGATGGATCACTAGCCAAACCACCAACTTGGCTGACAGGGCATCTCCTACAAGCCCAGCAAATTATGTTAAAGCTGCTGAAAGGAAAAATAAAACTAAAGAAACCCTGCTGAGCAACACAAAGCACATGAGTGAACACAGCTGGGAAAGTCTGGATTCCAGCACACTCTCTCTGTGCCACGGAGTCTGCTCACCTGGGACCAGGAACAGCTTCAGAGCCACAAGATGGAAAAACAAATGGAGAAAAACAAAACAAAAAGAAAAAAAATGGAGGTTAGCATAAAAGGGAGCTGGGACTGAAAGGCTGGAAGCATGAGAGGTAGCTGGGTCCCACCTATCCCCAGAAAGGTTGGTTACCTGCCGTGAGGAGGAGGAGGAGGAGGAAGCATCTGCTCCCAAGGCCTGCCAGCCTGGCTCATAGGTGATGTGGATGGCCTTCCCAGGGAGGATGCAAAGGAGCAAGGAGAGGAGAGCAGGGAACCCAGACTTGGAGGGCAGAGGGAGAGACAGACAGTGAAGGAAAAGGTTTAGAGTGAGACAGGTAAGAAGGGAGGTAAAAAACGTGAGGTAAAATAGGAGATAGGAAGAAAGGCTCAAGTCCTGCCCTCCAGGAACTGAGCATGCTGCTCAAGGCATCACAGGGACACAAGTCACACCTTTAGATTTCAGCTTAGGGTGCAAAAAGGGAACAGATATTGCCATTTTTAGGCTCAATTTAGGATGGGACACATCTTTTTCATAGGGCACCAACCCTCTGAGTGCCAGATTCCCTTTTATCACCTCTCACATAGGCCATTAAGGAATCTGAGAGACAAAGACACCACCTCATCCTTGATACAGAACATTATTAGTCACTTTGGAAGCTGAGCCCTGATATTTTAGACCCCAGGATATCTGCACCCTGTGGAAGTTGCCTCCATGATGAAATGACAGGTCCAGATCTTAAACAAACAAGTCCTTTGTGTTTCCTCAACAATTCTTCATGACAGACGCAGCAGCTGCCCCAAAAAAATCACTAGTGAGACATATTCCCCCACCACATTCTCACTCATTTTCATTCTTCCTGACCAAGTACCATAAGCTGCCTCCTTTTTGCTCCCCAGGACAGCTGTGTACACATCTGGCTAGTGGGAAATTCCCAGAAGAAAAGATCCTGGTAGCAGGAAGAAGTGTTACACTCATGGTCACAGTAGGTTTGGGGGGGGCGCTATCAAAGGATCACCTTAATTAAACAGGGCTTGTTTGGAAGTTATTCACAATGCTTTGGATGCTTCTCTGCCCAGCTCCTTCCAGTGAGGAAGGAATTAAATATAATTAAATATATACTCTGCAAAGAGGGAGAACAGTGCCGTGCCCAAGAACACAGGACAAGTGACAGGCTACTAGCTGATGGAGGTGTCCTGGTGTCCAAGCCAAACTGGGTAGGAAGAAAAACCACCACCATGTCATGCCAGAACAGGCTGTGGACTCATCTGCCAAGGTGCAGAAAACCACTGGCTTCTGCTCAGCAACTCACAGCACTGGCACCTCCTGGATCTGCCCATGTCCCCCAGAGATCCCTCAACTGCTGTTATCCTGACATAGCCCCCAACATGCCTCCCAAAGAGGAAATACCCACAAAAGGAAACCCACCAGAGCCTGCCTCAGCAAAAATTTAGGGAACAAGGCATGTTACTGCACAAACAGCTTCTTCCAACACTGAAACCACAGATTTCTCCAGGAAGCCCCTGAGCACAGTGCCAGCAGTGGCTCCGAGGCCAATTCAGCGAGTGGCCCTCACCCACCTCTCTGCACTCCCGACTGACTGGCTCTGGAGCCACATTCTGTCTGGCAGCTGAGACCATGGCACTGCTGGTGCTTTTGTTTCGCCCATGGCCCTTCCTGAAGCCGGCTTTGGAAGGGCTCTGGAGCTGAGGGTGCAGCTCCCGGTTGGGGGAGGAAGGTGTGGACGTGATCACCAGCGTCTTCAGAGCTGTCACCTCTGCCTGCAGCATGTCGATCTGAGGAGACCAGGTAGAGTCAACACCTGCTGAACTCAAGTTTGCTGCATCCCATCACATATTGAAGCCACAGGGAACCAGCTACAAGCCCAGCCATGAAGATTCTCCCCATCCCTCCCAGTGCCCTGCACCACCCAGAATTTCAAACAAACAGCAGCTATTTGGGATCACATCCCTCTGCCCCTTTAGTCAGCACATTTTGCCCCAGGCTCTTTTCAGACCCAATAACCCCAAAGAAACTTCTCTCTTGAGTTGAGCAACCTTGTGATTCAGCCCTGCCAGGAAATTCCAATGCCCCAGGTCCCTGCTCTATCCATTCCCACAGCTGTGACAATTAAACAGCTTATCAGTTCCCTGTGGTTTCCCTGGCATCCATTTCCCAAAAAGGAGCTGGATCAGGAACAGACTGCAAGGATCCCTCTTTCCCCTCACTCTGGTTCCTTTCCAGTGTCTGCTGGAAAGGGAGAAGAGCAAATACAAGCACTGTACTCTCCTCCAGCCAACAAGCAGCACTGTGGCCAGTCTGGGCAGTGATGCCACCGGGCTACCCCAAAAATCAAGTCCCACAGAGCAGTTCTCACCTTGCCCCGGGCCTCTCTCAGCTGTTTCTCTGCTGCAGCCTGTTTAGTGTTGGCTTCTCTCACCATCTTGTGGGCTTCCTGCACCAGAGAGAATTTTAGTCTACTGTTACACAAAGCCACCAAGGCAGGTCACAGTATGCCATATCACATGATCCAGGCAAGCAAGCAAGGGGACAAACCTCCCTGCCACATCCAAGAGATTTGTTCTGTCAGCTGTGAAGTGTCTTCCCCCAGAATTTCCTGGAGAAATTCTCCCAGTGCCAGAGCCTGGAGTGCATCCCCTGCTAAGGAGTGTAATCAGTTAAACTAAAGCATTTAGCTGGCTAGTCCAAGGTCATCTCTCTCACTGATAGGGGCTGCTTGAAGAATGCCAGAAACAAGGGCCTGCCCTTTCCTTGCCCTTGGGGGTTGCTTAAAGCTGAGGCTTTAACATGAACACTCAGCTGTGTTGCTGTGGGTGCTGTGGCAGGGGCCGTGGGTGCCCCTATTCCAACATCTCTGACTCCAGCCTCCCCTCAGCTTGGCTTCCTGGCTTGACCCCAGTCACTGCAGCTCTGCTGGTTGATCACTAAACGAATTTCTGCCCCTGTCCTGCTGTCTGTGGCACTAATCCTGATCCAGACCTGCTTCTCCACATCTTGGTGAGGTCACTGCTCCTGCCCGGCTTGTTACTGCACTTTGCTCCCACTTCCCTTGTGGAGCAGCCAGTCCTCACTGCTCCAGGCATGGCTGGGACACAGCAGGAGCTGGAGCTCAGGTGGGGGCCAAATGGTAGAAACTGGCTTAAAAGGCTCTCCCACAGAAAGAGGGGAGTGGGATGAATCCCATCTGGGTCCTCCCTGCAGCGCTGTCTGGAAGCAGAGTCTGGCCAAGGCCACCAAAGGAAGGGAACAGCCCTTGGCTTTATTATCTCCAATATCATCCTGAGCTCAGGCAGCCAAAATTTCAGGAGAGGGTTGCTCTCTTGGCCCTCATATCCCTGTGTGTCAAAGGTACAGATGGGCTTTGGCTTTCCTCACTATCCAGACAGATCCAGACAGATCCAGACATTAGAGCTGCTGGTAAATGGGATTTTGCCAGGATAGACCTTGGCAAGAATCACATTACAAAAAAAACCAAAAAACCAAAACAAACAAAAAAACCCCCCACCACAACTGACAGGCCTTCTGGACACTCATTGGAGCAGAGTGTGTGAGGACATCCAGCATGTTCTCACCCCCAGCAAGGGCTGAGACAAGCCAGGGAGTCATCTCTATTCCACAGCAGTTGCCCAGCAGGTATGGAGAGGGACATGGAGAGGGACAGGGAGCTGTGCCTGGCTCCAGCTCCAGGTATCCCCACATCTAGTTTTGTCACCATAACTACTGTGCTCTTTATGCCACCCCACAGGTGCCAGAAGGGGCAAGAAATACCTGTAAATGCACCCCAGGAGCCTGTTCTGAGGCTCTGCCTGTAGCACTGCCCAGCTCTGCTTCTCCAAGTGGGAATGAACAGGGGAAAGGAAGAAACTGTGGGAGGAGGCAGCTGGAAGTTCAGTGAAAGCCTGTCTTAAAGGGGTTGGATGCAAGCTTAGGGTAAGAAAAGGAAGAGGGTGGTACCTCAAATAGGCTGGCTGTTAACTCCTCCAGTTCCTGCTCCAGTTGTTCCCTGACTTTTGACAATCTCTCACATTCTTTGTCCTTCAGCTTCAGCTCCTGTTGAGGAAATGGAGAAGGAAACATCAGCCCACAGCAGATCCCAGGAGTGCTGATGCCCTGCCCTGTCAATCACAACCCTTCCTCCCCACCATGGCACAGACCCCTGATCCCAGATTCCTGGCACTAAACTCTGTGCCATGCTCCCTGCCACCAAAGGCACCCTCCCTCCACAAGTTGTAGCAGGATTTTCAGGCTCATTTCAGGAACAGCTCATTTGTCATTAGCAAGGAGGCTCCCAGTTAAGCACTGCCTTGAGCTGCTTCCTGCAGTAGGTTTCCAGGATTAATTTGGATATTGGCACCTCCAGCAACTGATGTCCTGCTCCACAGCACTTTATGGCCACCTCAACTCAGTCTCTCTCCTCTTCTGCCTGCTCCAGACTCCTAAAACACCTCTAGGAAAACTCCTACTGCTCCAATCCATGCTGCCATCCCCAGGTGTTCTCCCTTTACCTTCTGTGCTTTGTGCAGCTCATCCTTCAGGAACTCAGACCCCTTTTCACGGATCTCCACCGAAGAGCTGCGCAGGCGCGACACATTGAGCTGCTCGGTGGACTGGGTCTCACCCACACCTCCAGCATCCTGGCATCCCGTCTCCAGCTCCTCCTTGCTGCCTTTGGATGGCATTAGTGGCTTCCAGTGCCCCACAGCAGGTTGCTTCTGGCTCTCTTCCTCAAAACTGACCTGGCTGTGGGGTGACAGCATAGAGAAATTTCTCAACCAGTGTGTCCCAGAGAGGACACTCAGGAGAAAGCAGGAGAACTAAAGACAGCTGCTCCAGGAATCCTGTTCTCACCTGGATTCCAAGAGAAACACACTGCAACTGCCTTGTTTAAGACCTTGGTACTCACCCAGCAGACCCAAGTTCAGACACTGCTCCCCCAGCTGAAGGAAAGTAGGAAAAAAAAGGAACACAGCTCTCCCATTCCCAGTGTACAGACCCTAATCCCATCTGCTGCCAACCCAGCCTTCCCCTATCCCTGCTTCAGAGGGTAAGGATCTATTTTTAACCTACTTCCCACCAAAAGCCTCCACAGAGCCACCTAAACCAGTGCATTTCCAGTGGGCTGAAGCCCTGTTCTTTAGTGTCAGTGGCTGGCAAGTGGAGAGGTACTGGAAAGAAGAAACCAGAAGAGCCACCCAGGAGACTGTTCCCCAGCAGCACTCATGCAACTCCCAAATTAACACAGATGCTGGAGAGGCTGATGGATTTAGCTGGCTTTGCTGGGGTTTTAGGAGAGGAAAACCTCATCAATGCCTGCACGACAGGGCACTGCAGTCACCCTGGGGTGTGCATCTCCCTTCCTTTGTGCATCAAAGTGCCCTCACGTGGTTGCTCGCTGTTTGAAGGCAATGGGAGCGTGTCCAAGCCTTGCACACACGGAAGTTTTCTATCATGCCCAGACACCCAGCAGAACACACACACTGCCCTGCAGATTAACCTGCTGCTGGTTATCTCTGGGTCACAAGCCTTGGCTGAGCTCTGGTGCCCAAGCCCTCCTCCCACACTCCTACTGCTTCTTGCCTGCTGCCTTCTCCTTCAGAGAAGCCACCACCTCCTTTGGTTTGGTTCACTTTCTCTTCTTCCCTTTTCCCAATCTGCTTTCCTCTCCTGAACTTGCTCTTCCTCCTGCATTCCAGCCAGGACATAATCTTCCCCCTGATTCGACTCCAGCCCAATACTGCACAACAGAGCACAGGCTGGGCTTATCTCCTCAGCCATGTGCTCCTCGAAAATAGCCTTGTTCTCCCTCAGACACAGAAAGCAGTCAAACCACAAGGCCCAACTATCCTTTTCACCCAGCCTCAGCATCCCACCACCTTTTCTACTCAGATTTCTCCCTGTTTGTGCCCGCCCCAACTCTGTCTATGAGCAACAGCTGCCCACAGTCATTTTCCAAAGAGGGAAAGAAGCAGCAGGTACCAGCTAAATCAGCTCAGGTACCACAAGAAAGCATGTGGAAAAGCACATATAGAGAACTCTCTGAACCCTTGGAAGACAAAGAGCACAGGATCTGTGAGATGGTGGAGGACAACAGGATCATCCCTGCTGCCGTGCCATGCCAACTGGATGGCATTTTGGCAACAGAACTCGGGGAGGGGGACATTAGGTTGGTATCACAGATTTTGCTGACCTCTCTGTCAAGCAAGAACATGTGAAAGCACCACAAAGATGATCATAGTGCAGAAATTAACTAGTGTCCCACTGACTTCACCTGGTTTTACTGACCATTCCCTGAGGAGATCTAGAAAGGGAGGCTCACCCTGGTGATAAGACTAAATTTTCTGCAATGGAATTGCCATGGGAATCATGCCAAGCAGAGAGGTCTGTCCAGCAGATACACCAGTTCTCAGATGGCACAGGGGAAGTCCTCTCTGCTTTGGACTTTTGGGATGAGACAGGGTAAACTGCAGAAAAGAGACCTCTCCAGGTATTCCTGCATTAGAAGAAACAGAGCAGAAGGGACCCAGCCAGTCCCAGCACCTCCAGCTTCTGTGAGCAGAGCACAAAAATCAGAGCACAGAGGAAAAGCAAGATTCAGAACCAAGCAGCTACTAAAAAAATAATAAAGAAGCAGCAGAGAAAAGGGCATTTCAACAGTCCACTAAACTACTCAGGCAGTCAATCTAACCCACAGGAAGAAAAAAACAATGTTGTTTCTTTATGACTCTCAAACTCTCACATGAAAGCTGCCTTGGGAAACAGATATTTCAGTACATTTCCACACACTACAGAAGAAAACTGGAGGATATGGAGGAATGAAACAGTCCCACCCACACCCTGTAATGCCAAAAACATATCCTGAAAAATCATCTGTGATGGAATAGCTCATTCTCCACACTGCGCAAACAGAATCCTCACGGAAGCCTTGGCTATGCTGGATCTCCATTGTCCAGGTGGGGCTCTGAAATCCAGCCCACAGAGACCAAAAGACCACCACATACACTCACTCTCTCTTGCTGACTGGTAGCTGTCTTTCTTGGAAAAATGGATCATATTATGTAAGTCCCACACTGACACAAGAAGCGCAAACTTACACAGGAAAAAAAAAATCCACAACACCCCACAACCTTCTAAAGTTGGTTTCCGTAGAAAAAGCAAAAAAAATGTGCAAGATCTGCACTTTTTCCAGCGGGCCCCACATGTTTCCTGCACTGCTGATCCAAGAGGGTTATTTCCCGTACAAGCAAGCCTCTGGCTCCCTCCAGGTTAAACTCTTACCCGCGGGTTTGCGAGGAGGACCCGACTTTTCCATCCCGCCAGGACAGATGCCTGACTGGCACCATGTTCACCATCACGGGCTGGCACCTGTCCAGAGCCCATGGATGCTCAGTATCATCCCTCAAAAGCTTTGGCAAAGCATCTGTTTCATTATATTATTATAGCAGAACACACAACTGGAGTTTCTTGGTTTTGTCTCAGCAACGACGCTGTTGTGTCTTATGTCTGGGGGTGCTGGTGCCGCACGGAGTCTCCTCATTCCATCTCCTTAGTTGGCTTCCACACAACTCTTTCCACAGGTTGCCCAGAGAAGCTGTGGCTGCCCCATCTCTGGAAGTGTCCAAAGCCAGGTTGGACGGGGCTTGGAGCAACCTGGTCCAGTGGAAGGTGCCCCTGCCCATGGAAGGGGCTTAGACTAGATCAGTCTTTAAGATCCCTTCCAACCCAAACCATTCTGGGATTCCATGAATCCTACGAAACACCCGCAGCGCCCTGAGCGCTGGCGGAGCCGGGGGGCTCCGGGCTGCAGGGACACAAGGTGTGAGCACCGAAACAACCAAACCCCGTGGAAGCCCGAGGGACACGGACACCCCACTAAGCCCCCAGGCCCCCCCTGCAGATTCCCCCCGCACCTACCCCTGCAACATCGCTGGGTCCCTGCTGCTGATGCTGCTCACGGCGGAGGGGCGCCCGCCGCCCCCCCCATGCCCGGAGGAGCCGCAGCTGGAGCGGGAGCTGTGCCCGGAGAAGCCGGAGCCGCAGCCGGAGCGGGAGCCCTTCCCGGAGGAGCCGCAGCCGGATGAAGAGCCGGAGCGGTTCCTGGAGGAAGAGGAGCCGCTGCCGGAGCGGATCCCGGAGGAAGCCGAGCTGGAAGCGGAGCGGATCCCGGAGGAGCCGCAGCCCCACCACCGCCCACGTGATGCCGGCGCGGCTGCGCCCTGAGCCCGCCCGGGGCCCGGGGGTCACTCGGCAAACAGCGGCACGGGCAAAACGGGCTGGAATTGCGGGAATAAGGGTGGTTTGTTATCCATCACATCAGTGCAGGGCAGTGAAAACTAAATCTTAACACAGCCCTTCCTCCGCCCTTCTCTTCTTCCCCGGCTCAGATTCGCGCCTGGTTTCCTCTGCCTCCTTCCACACGGGACTGCGGTCAGGTCTGTCCTGCTCCTTCTTGCTCGGAAGGATTCGTCACACTCTTCCCCTGCTCCAGTTGTCCCAGGGGAGACAGTCCTCCGTGAACTTCAACGTGAGTTATTCACGAAGTGCTCCCGCGTGGGTCACTTCCACGGGGTGCAGTCCCTTAGGGACAGGCTGATCCAGAGTGCGATCCTTCCACGGGGACCACCTCTGGCTGCGATTGCTCCCGTGCAATAGCTTTTGTCCCCCTTCTTAAATATATTGTTCCAGAGGTGCTCCCACTGTCGCTGATGGGCTCAGGCTGGGCCTGAGTGGCAGGTCCGTCTTGAGCCAGCTGGGAATGGCTCCATTGGACATTAGGTAAGCTTCCAGCAGCTTCTCACAGAAGCCACCCCTATAGCTCCCCCACTACCTAAACTGTGCCCCAAAACCCCAACACATTGAAGAAGTCTGGGATGTAAAGAAGGGGGGAAGCTGAAAGGATGAGGGAAACCTGGCTGGGGGGAGAACGGCCACTGATTGTCCAGGATTTTTAAACTTGACATTCAAGGAGAGCACGGGGCTGGGAACAAAACAGACAAACCACTCCTGCTGTTACCCCAATCCCAACAGCAGATCCCACACCCCCCTCTGAATTGACAGCGCTGAAGTTTTGGTGTCTCCACTGAACCAAAAACTGCCCCTGCCCTTGCAGGCCACTATAAGAGGATGTTTTCCAGATCGATCCTTCCCCACGTTTCCCATCACATCCTACCTTGCCATTGCCCAGGGCTTCCCTCCAGGCAGCCGTATCCCCTCAGAGCCTTCACATGCTCCTGCCTTGCTCTCTGTTTGCCCATCCTCTGCCTCACTGCCAGACCCAAGGCCAAAGGCTGGCGAGTCAGACATGGTGATCCATGTATCCATTGCAGAATGCTGCTGTGGATACCACACAGGGACCACTTCTCTCTCCCAGCATCTTCTGGGTGTCCCTGTCATCTGCAGCCCTGCCCTGCCTCATGGCCAGGATCCACAGTGACAGCTCAGGGCAACCTCATGCTCTGAGGTCTGGGAACGGAGTGTTCAGGACGTCTGTGTCGCTGGCTGTAACCTTTGTTATCTTCAGGGAGCTTTTGGGAGGAGGGGAAAGATCTTCAGCTTTCCAAGGCAGCACCACAAGTAATTAGTCTTTGTAATTATTAACTCCCAAGGCTTGGCTGGCAGGGACGGAGGGTCCTCAGATTAGAAGGGTAGAACAGATTCCAGGAGCCGACAAAGGCGGGAAGGATGAGAACTGATAGCGCAGACAGGAAGAATTAAGAGGGGATGTGCTGAAGATTCTGAATCCCAGCCACTTGCAGAAGTTAACTTTTCACAGGGGGAGAGTGGCATGTGCTCCCCTCTTCTTCCCAGAAGGAAAGGGGAAAACCAGATGCAGGCTGGGAAAAGGAGGAACGGGGATTATTTTAGAGCTTGGAAAGCAGGACTACACCCCAGACCCAGCAAACTCAAACCGGATGTTATTGCCATGAAAAGGAGAATGAAACAAATGGCCTCAAACTCCAGGCTCCCTCCAGCCCCTCCTTGCTGGCTCAGACGCTGTGCTGATGTTTGCTCAGCTGGCTGCAAGGCATTCAGCAAGGGCTTTCCGGGATTTCTGGCTCTAAGATCCCTGATTTCCAGGACCAACCCATTTGGTCCTCCCTTTGGAGCCTAATCCCCGCCACGGAACCTATGGCAAGAGAAAGGGGATCTTGCTAAGGACTTTTCCCTCCTTTTCATGCTGTGCAAACTGAACTATGCAACATCAGAGAGGGAGATTTGTCACGCTCCAAGCCCCTAAAAACAAAATGCAGAGGGTCAGATGGAGATTAGCACTCAGGTCTGAGGGAGATGCAGAGCTTGGCACCCACAGCTCTCAGGGCCCCCCAGGATGGCACAGAATTAGTGAGGAATTCTGCAGCATAAGGGTAAGAAGTCCGGGGGTCCTCACAAAAGCACTGAGGGTCACTGAATCCTCTTCAAACATTCCTGGCCAGCTCAAATCTCTGGGTAAATCCTGTCCTTGCAAAACAGCACCTCCTCAGATACTTCCCGCTTTATCTTTTTTTTTTTTAATTACGTCAGATTCCAGGGAAGAATGCTATTTTGAGAGACATCCCTGATGCCAGCTGCCTCTGTGTCTATCTCACCACTGAAACTGGACCCACTGTCCCAAAAAACACTTATTCTCCAGGAGACAGCAAGGAGGGCACCGTGCCATTCCCAAACAGCTGCTGCTAACTCAGCACAGAGAGTGGCCCTCTGGCATTCCCAAAACAGGGATTCAATTCCCACCACAGTAATAATTCAGTTTCTGTAACATTGAGAAAATGAGGATGATTCCAAGGCTGTGAGGCTGAGGAGGGATATCAGACCTCCTTGCTTCCTCCTCTGCTTCTGTGCAAGGAATCTTCCTCAAGACCTGCAAGGTCTGAGGCCACAGGGGATATGAAAAGAGATCTAAGCAGGGCTGCCATGCTGGTAGCCTCTCAGTTATTTACTTTAATATTAAATTCCACACATATTTTGTGCTGTCCCAGCAGCAGCTGTGAAGCACACGAGCTGCCAGCTGAGCTGCTCTCAGAGGAGGGCAGCAGAGTCCCCCAGATGCCACCACATCCTTCCACAAACAGCAGGACACTCCGGGGTTTGTTGTTTCATGTCCCCAGGAGCACCCAAACCACTCCCAACAGCACCCTCCCCTTGTCTAGGATCAGCCACAGGAAGGATAAAACTACATTTGGGACAAATTGATCCCAACTGCTGATGTTAAACAAGTGTCAAAGACACAGGCATACAACCAGCACAAGAGAAAGTTGGTTTTTACAGGAGTCCTGGTCTCCAGCTGCTCTTACCTGCATGGATCAGACCTGTGCTCCCTCTCCACAGCATCCCACAGCTGGGTAAATGATGGAAGACTAATTAGTAAGAAAGGATTTTTCATTCAGAGCCTCGTGGAAGGGGAACATACTAAAGACCTAACGGGGGATTGTGGAGGTGGTGGATGAGAAGGATGGTCACAGTTGGGAGGGATGACCTGGGAGCAGAAAAGGGACCCTGGAGAGACAGAGGGAAGGAGTTTCTGGCTTGGTGGAGATTTCAGGACAGAGGCAAGGACTGGTTTCCCAGGATATCATGCAGGGAAGAGCAGTGAGTCCCCAAGCACTGCTGGAAGAAGCCAGAGGAAGAGAAAGTGAACCCATGGAAAGAGTCTTGGGGAGGCAGTGGCAGAGTGGAAGTCCCCAGCATCCAAACCACAGCTAGAAGAGGTGACAAACTCATCCAGGGACAGCAAGGAGTGACAGAGAAACATCCTGTGAGAGCCAGGCAGAGCATGGACCAGGTGTTTCACCAAGCTAAGGAGCTTCCCCAGGGAAGAGAGGGCTGTGCAGCCCCCTGGGCATGACACATTTTACAGCCTTTGTGGAAAATTCCAGCCCTGCATAATCTCCTGGGGTTCCTGTAAGATTGTGACACGGAGAAAGGGACCAAACAGGAAAGAATTAGAGGAAAAATGCCTCTCTCCTGGCAGCCACCATGGCTGTGCCAGGAGTTAGCAGCAGCGGAGCAGCCAGCCCTGCCTCCCCCTCCTCCGGCCGCCTCTATAAACACGCAGGGCTTACTCAGAAGATTAGGAGGGAACAGGGCAAAAGACAACAGAGTCTCTTTTGTAATGAGGAAGGATTACAGCATCAAGTGACCGGCTGCAGCTCCCAAGTGGGTCTCAGGCTCCTTAGCACACCGTGTCGGGCAGGTTCAATCCCCCCATGAGCCAAGGGGGCACGAGGAGGCGGGCGGTGGCGTGGGCCACAAAGGACCCAGCGAGGACACGTGCGGCACCAAACCTCCACTGCCTCCGGCGCGGCAAAGGAGCCCATGACTGTGAGTATCCCGTCCTCCTGAGAGCAGGCAGATTCCTTCTGAGACCTTCCTGCCTTCCTGTGACCTCCTGTCACTCCATCCCTCTGCTCTGTCCCCTTGTTCTCCAGCTCTGTGGTACCTGCTTGTGTCTGTTTGCTGTATCACATGGTGGGTGATGCACCTGGTGTTGCAGAATCCTGGTTGCTGTGGGTTCCCACACTCTGATTAGTGGCAGTGGACCGCCAGGTGCAGTGGTTAGTCCGGAGGGATGAGGCAGGTGAATGCAGGCAGTGGCAGGCAGCAGTGCCGTGCAGGGGATGGCTCTTCCTCCCCATACTGACTCAGGTGTGCCACTGAGTCACCTCCCACCTCAACCCCAAATGGTATTTGGAGCGTGGCAGCTGCCCAGTGACATCCCTGGGCAGTCCCATGCAGGCTGGCAGGTGGGCAGGGATGTGCCTTAACTATTCTGGGCTGGAGGGAAAAGCACCAGGGAAAAAAACATATCCCATGCGGGGGCAGAACTGCACAGAGGTGGGTGACATCCATTATTTACATGGACAAGAGCTGAAGTTTTCCTTCTTTGGTAAAAAGTGAATGTGTATCTGAATTACGCAACAAAGAGTCTCCCTGGGCTCTTTCAAGACCCAAAGCATAGAGAAAACAGCTTTGTGAAAGCAGCCCCCCCAAATTTATGGGTTTATGGGCATACATTTCTTTTCCATACACCCCATGTATGCAGTCTCTGGGGCAGTTAAAACTCACTCTTCCAAGTCCTGTGCACAGAAATCCGTATGGGAATGGCACAGATTTGCACGAGGATTTAGTGAAACGTGCATTTGTGCAGCTGGGGACAGGGACCAGCTCTGCTCGTCCACATAACCCATGAGAGGGGACTCAGGGACCTGAGTTACCAGAGGGAAACTCAAAGGAGGAGCAGCACCAAAAAGCCAAAGCCAGGAAAAAGATATTGTTTGGTTGAAGTAGCCAAAAAGCCCAGACTTTGCTGTTTTTCTTCACAGTAGCAGCTCACTGGAACTCCAGTTGTCCCCACCTGGGTGCAGATTTTTCACTGAGATGTTTAAATGAGGAACATGGGCACAAACTTATCTGCCTTCAGGTGCTGCTGCAAGGTGTGAATTGTCCCTTGAAGTTTTTCATTGTCTCCATCATTCAGGGGAGAGCCCAAGGCACCATAATTACTAACATTGTTACCTCTGTTAAAAAGCAATGCCTGTGTAACACTCTGGTGACATGTTAAGATTTAGAAATACCAATAGTTTCACACTGGGTAATTATAAACCAAGGGGATCATTCACCAACCTGCCTGGCATGGATTACACCAGTGTTTTGGTGGGGGTTTTTTGTTTGTTGTGGTTTTTTTTACAAATTCAGATTTATATGAAAGTGAGTCTGATTTTATTACTCGATGATAAAGAAATATTTATCCATGTTAGACTAGAATTCCAATGAGGATGCTGCATGACTGGGAAGCATTTCAGGAGCCTGAATGCCTTTTTTTATCCAGTGTGATTTATTGTGCAACATATGGTGGAAGGAGAGGGGAGGTGGAGCTGCTGGAATTTGGGCTCTGTGAGCCTGGCCGAACTCCATCCCGCAGATCTCTAACAGGGAAGGCTGTTCTGCCTGCAGGACTAGGACCAGCAGAGTCCAGATATGGCCCTCAGACCAAATTTAAAGACAGCAATTCTTGTTGAGTACCTTCATCTGGATCAGTCCTAAGAAATCTCTACTTTCTGGGGTTTTTGACTTCCTTTGGGTTGAATTTTTTTGCCAGCAGCGTTCCAGGAAGATGCTTCCCAACATTTTACAGAAACATATTTGAAACAAATAGTATAACAAAAAAAAATGTAATGGGATAAGCAACTGTGGAGTTTGTGAACCTGACACTTAACCTTACACCAGTGTTTTGTGGGAAGGGGGTGGGACGTGGGCTCTGTCCTCTCCAGCCAACCAGCCCCACTTGAATGCTGACAATCAAGCACTAGAAATCCAGAGCTCCACCAGAAAATACATCCTCTGTCACTGTAACCATCTCATGTGCATCTCAAGGACGGGAAAGATGGCAAATTAATTGCTTACGACCGATTTCCTCCTGGTTGTCTGTGTCACTGACTTCACCTTACCTGGCTTTGGATCTCAACTGTTTCTTGCTGTCTTTCTCTCTTTCTCCTCTTTCCTTCCATCTTGCTTGGCTCCTCC